GAAGGGCAGGTAAAAGCATTTGTTCTGAATTTCAGTGAATTTGTGCGTTATTTTAGTGTATGGAAGAAAAAAAACCTAAAAGAAGGGAAAACCCCCAACTTTCTCTTGTTGATTTTACGAATTCTTGTTATAATTATTATCGAAAAGTTTTCGGACTTTTTCCAATGATTCGAATTAATTTTGTTGGTTTACAGATCCTACGTCACGTGAGCCTCAATGATGTGGATTTTAAAGCGTTTTGTGACCTGCAAAATGAAATCACAAAATGTTTAAAAGAAATGGCTTCTTCTCATGCGAATACCATCGTATCCAACGAAGCTTCAAAAATTAAAAGAAAACTTCTAGAGAGTGTAAAGAAAGATATGATGAAGGAGATCCCTAAGGTAAGGCCGTAGCGGTCTCCGGTCAAAAACAACATGTTGTCCTTCAGACAGTCACTCGCGACAAAACTCATTCACCTCCGAGATTTGAAAGTCCAGTTTCTCCGAGAGAGGTGGCTTTATAGCTGTGACCAGCCTTGGAAACCCCTTTTTTGAAATTTTTCAATTTTTCTCCTGCCAAAACCAATGAAATTGGGAGCTGTCCTGGTCAATGATATGACGTTAGTTTGCACACGAAATAGTGGTTTTTTAGACAATTTCGAACAAAAGAGAGCAAATTACAGTGATTTTTAGGGTGGCTTTATAGCTATGGCCAGCGCTGTATTGAACCTCTTGATCTCTTCACGCTAGTAACGTCGCAAGACTCCTTTTTATGATTTAAAGGAGAAATCTGAAAAAAACTGCGTTTTAAACCTCTTGTTTTTTCTTCAATTTGACTCTTTTCACTCGGTTTTTTGTAAATCGATAGGTCTTGTTTCTGTCTACGTTGTAGACAACGTCGCCAACCTTACTTCTTTGCTTACGTCGGTTTTTGTGAAAATTATTAGAAAGTGCGTTTTTCTTCACCTTGTTCTGTTTCAGTGCTTTCGCATCGATTTTTTTCCAACTTGGACGATACTTGCTCAGAATGATGAGCAGAAGAATCCAGACTATGTCGCAGGATACAAAATGACTATGCGAAGGTGAAAAATCAAAGGACGCAACAAAAATCAGATTGGCGTCGATGTGCAACATATTTTTTCAGACGTGTGTAACATATTCAATTCGGTTGTTGACAAGCTTCCCTTCTTTCGGTCTCCCAACTTTTTTCATTTAAAACTGCTAAACAGCGCTTTTTCTAAATGAAAAAAAAACTTTGTTTTTGTTGTCACTCAATTTAACCGGCAATCCTGAAGAGGAAACTGTGTGTAGGAAACCACCGAATCAAGGTTTCAAATTTGGTGATGTACTAACCTCTGCTTTATATGAATTTTTCAAGTTTCCTGACTCAAATCGTATCTCTAAACTTCCATCTATTTTTCTGAAACAACCTTCACTTTGTATAGGGGGCAGGAATTCAAACAACTATCACTTTCTAGGCTCTGTCTCGTGACTATCGAAGGTATGGCCTGAAAAAGCTTCAGCTCTTGACCGCTTTCACTCCTGAAGAAAGACCAAATATAATACAAACGTGTGCATAAAGTGAGTAGATTTGAAATGAAGGCTTGCCTCTCTTCTTGGCATCTTTTGCATCTTTCCTTATATTTACCGCGTAAGAGTCGCCCTTCAAGTGTCAAATTACCAGTAGCATTTTTTTGAAACATAAATGCGTCTTTATTCATTTTATATATTTTAGCAACAAAGTCAACAAATGCATGATTCACGAGGAGAAAAGAACCTCAACGGACAAACGACTAACTCTTGTTCTAGATATAATGTTTTATGACAACATTTTCGTCCTGAGAACAATTCTTGTTGCATCAAGCTTTGTCTTGACGCGCGATATCTGTGCCATAAACTTGTCTGTCTGGCGCTGCAACTTCTTCCACACTAGCAAAATAAATTTTTTAGCTTGAGGAATTCAAGAATGTAACTTACAAGGGAAGGTGACCCTGTGAATTGGAATATATCAGGTCATTCCGAAAGTAATTTCGCTTTTTTCAAAGGGGCGCCACATCTGAAGGAAAAGTGTTTTTTAAGAGATCTTGGTAGCATTCGGCGCAGCATGTCATCCGCTTTTTAAAATTTGTGAAATCGTCGCAGCTTTTTTATTGAGATTTTCGAAAGTAATCAAAAGCGGCCCATGCTTTTTGATATGGTAAAGTTTCACAATTTTTCAAAACTTTCATATCAACCCTCAGAAGGATTTCAAGTAATGATTAGGTAGAGCAAACCTTATCGGATACAAAACAATTTTTTCTCCTTCACATACCTCCTCAAAATTTTCTAATAAAATTTCAACTGATGCCGCCAATTTCCATACTCGGTCAACTCAATTATCGTAGAACATCAATGAGAGAGCGGCTCTGGTGCTGTTTGATGCAGCATTTTCTCCTCTTTCTAATAGGTATTTTTTGTTCCCGATTCGTTGGGTCTTCAGGGATAAAATCGTCATAACTCATGTTTTTGAACGCTTCCAACGTTGTACCAGAAAAACTTAAAGTTCAGTATTTCGAATCCGAAAACTTTCATTTGCTTTATAAAATCAATATTAAGTCATATATAACCTTGGGAGCTTCAAATTCCGAATATCGATGTTTGATGCGATTGTGGATGACGTAGGCCTGCCAAAATCCGATGGTTTTGGTAAAAAATCTTTCAAAAATTTACGGCGAGCAAAAAGAGAAAAAAGTTGTGCTGTATCCAATAAGTTTGCTCTATCAAATAGTTACTTGAACTCCTTCTGAGGGTTGCTATGAAAGCTTTGAAAAATTGTGAAAGCTTGACCATCTCGAAAAGCATGGGTCGCAGGTTTTGGTTATTTTCCGAAAGCTTAATGAGTACGCCGCGACAATTTCACCACTTTTAGAAAGATGATGAGCTGCATCGAATGCTACCAAGATCTCATAAAAATCTTTGTTCCATCACATGTGGAGTTTTTTGAAAAAAGCGAAAGTGTTTTCGGAATGACCTAATATATCGTCTCAAAAAACTTCAATCACTGATTTTAAATCGGTCCTCATATGCGGAGCGCTTCTGGGAGAGAAGTCATTTGCGTTTTCAGAACGAAATTGAATGCGCGATTGGAAGAATCTTAAACACCTTTTTGTGGCTAAAATGGGAACAGTGGTAAGTGCGAAGGTATCTGTGTAGTGCATATTTTATATAATTTACTCAGCACCCTTACCCTACACTTAAGCGCTGTGAAGATGTGACGTTGAGGTCTCGCGTTTGATTTTGCGCGCTAGAAACGTTTATAAATCCAATCCCAGAGGTGCTCTTCGCAGAAGGTAGATTTGGAATCAGCATTTAAAGCAAAAGGCCTTTCCAAATAAGCTATATATCATTTGAAGATGGTATAGATCTTATTTGAAGAAAAATCCTTAGTCGAAAACGCTTCTTCAAATAAGATCTATACCATCTTCAAATGGTATAGATCTTATTTGGAGAAGCGTTTTCGACTTACAAGGGAAGTTAACTTAGTCGAAATGGCGATTCGGAAGGGGATCTCTACCGGTGGACAGAGCTCAAAAAGCTGATCACAGATATACCTTCTATATCTGCGATGCCTTGTTCTGAAAAAAATTATGAGCTCTTCTAAAGCCAAATTTTTTCGTGCATTTTGAGTCGCAAAATTATGACAATCGCTACACAAAAGTGTGTGCAAGGTTAAGCAAACCACCTAATAAGCATTGTAGGTCTAATCTGAGTTCATTCGAACGTTTCGAGTGTTTTCCGACCATATTGTTTGTTCACAGACCGTCATTTCCTTCTTAGATCACACTTCCATTATATACAAAAAAGCCCATAACCTCCATTTAGAAGAACGCGTCGCAGATATTGAAGATATATTTGAGAACATCGTTTTACGTTCTATCCGTTGGTAGTTTCTGAAAAGTTTCCTACGCGATGCGTTTTTCTAGATGGAGATTATGGGCTTTTTTGTGTATATAATGGGAGTGTGGTCGTGAAGTGAAATGACGACCTGTGGATGAACAACATGGTCTAAAAACATTCGATAGCGTTCGGATGAACCCGAATCGCACCTACGATGCTTATTAGGTGATTTGCTCAATGCACTCTTTTCTGTAACGATTATCATGATTTTGCGACTCAAAATGCACGAAAATTTGGCTTTAGAGAAACTCATAACTATTTTCAGAACAACGCATCGCAGATATAGAAGGTATATCTAAGATCAGCGTTTTAAGCTCTGTCCACTGGTATAGATCTTCTTCCGAATCGCCACTTCACTAAGGCCCGTATGCACGTACATCCCCGCGGGGAGGGGAGGGGATCTGAGAGGGGAAGCGTCATATCTCGCTAGTCTATGTATTTTTCTTCTTCTTTCTTTGGCTTAGTCTTGAAGGTTCTCATACACTGATACTTGCGCATAGAGGATGCCAGGTTACTGCCATACAAGATTAGATATTCACTATTTCGTCTGATCCCCTGGGGATCCCCAGGAGATCATCTCACATTTTCAAAGTCATTTATCTTCCTGAAAGATCAATGAAAACGCTGCAAAATTGTATGTTGATATAACACAATACTGCTGAACATGTTCATGGTAGAAATGAGTGAAATCTCAAGATATCAAAATCTTTGATGAACCGCTGCTCGCCAGGGATTATCGAAAAAATCAAAATCTTCAGATTCCATTTCTTCTGTCGGAAACATTCTCAGCAGTATCCTAATATATCTTCAGTACAATTTTGCAGTGTCTTCATTGATTTTTCAGGGAGATAAATGACTTTGAAAATGTGAGGTGATCCCCTGGGGATCCCCAGGGGATCGGAAGAAATAGCGAATATTTAATCTTGTGTAGCAGTAACCTGGCATACATTATGCGCAGGTATAAGGGTATGAGAACCTTTACAAGAACGATAGAGAAGAAGGAAGAAAGATATCCAGAGCAGCGAGATATGGCGCTTCCCCTCTCAGATCCCCTCCCCTCCCCGCGGGGATGTACGTGCATACGGGCCTAAGTGAACTTCCCTTGCAAGTGTCCTTCTCAGGTTCGGAAGTCTTCTCCCACTCAATTGATTGGGAGTGATGACACTCATGCATAAGTGCATAAAGTGTCGATTTCAGCTGCTGCTGCTCATAGTACGACATGGTCTTGTTCACCTTCAACAGCTTTTTTTGAAGTCTGTCCCTGTGAACGAACCGATTCCGGGCATTTTCATAGCCAACTTGCATGTATGTAGCCATGCATCTATGCGTGAGATACAAAAATGCAAGTGGGCGCGGCAGCTCCGCCCACTTTTGGTAAGCCACGCCAACTTTTCAAAAAATGCAAAAAATCCAATTTTTTTGAAAAGTGGGCGGAGCTTGAGAATGAGGGGTGAAGCCTGTGTAAGGCTCCCGCAAGAGTGCCGAAGTTATGCCAGCGCTACGCCAGCATTTCGATCGATACACGTGTATTTCATTGGGGACATCTACCTGCTGAGCTAGCCCCGCCCCAACGAAATACACGTGTATCGATCGAAATGCTGGCGTAGCGCTGGCATAACTTCGGCACTCTGGCGAAACCCTAAAGGAAGCGGGGTCAAATCATGATTATTCAAGGATCCCAGTCATATACCATCTTTTCTTTGCGATTTGAGAACGAAAAATTTTTTTTGTAGAGGACAACGGAGTGGGCGTAGTTCAAAAGGGGGCAAGGTCAACATGAAATACTTTTGAGCCTACATTGGTTATGTGAACACAAATTGGAACCATTGTGCACATTAGAGCCGATCTTTAGGGTGTCGCGCACCACTGTGTGACATCGTCCACAGGAACAGACTGTAGGTGGCACTCCATGCGCAACACTGTCGTCAACGTGCTAATTTGGTGTGCTCAAGTAAAAACTGTCGAATATACAGCATTGAAAAATTCTGGCCTCAAGTACTTCATTTGCGAATTCTGGCTTACCTTTTGCTATATTGTTCGCTCAACCTAGAGACCACTGAAAAAAATTGTGTTCGAAGATGCCTCAAAAAATTGCTGGTTACCGCTTTCTTTCAGTTCTTCCGAAAAAGAGGGAAAGCGTATTTCTTTCTAAGCCAGAATGGAGACAACTTTCCGTTTTTCTACCACCAAAAGTCCTACTACATAACAAAAGTTCTGCAACTCTAAAGGATTTTTCTATAAAAGAAAACGTCGTTACGCAAGTTTACAGAAGAATTTGTTTACTCCGAAAATAATCTTATCTTGTATATTTACTCACTCTATACCATTGCGCATATTTAACCTTTGCTCTTTTGTAAATATTACAAAAATTCGGAAGCTGGTTTTTTAAGAAAGTGAACTTCATTTCTTATCTTTTAAACCATAGTATCTCGAAACGAACACATTTCTATGAAAACCAGAAGTACAAAAAAGAGGGTTTCAGATGGCACATAAAGTTCTTTGTTGCAGTATTATTTGTAACACCCATTGTAATAAAGGAGCTCTGAAAAGCAACATTAGTTGTGTTCCAATCCAGCTGAAAATAACAGATACCCAGAAATCTGATTTTTGCTGAATTGATGGTTTGAGGTTTGATGAACGCAATAAAACAAAAGTGTATCAAAATTTTAAAATCTTAATTGGACTTTAGGTCAGATATCTTTCGGATCGCCTGTATACATTAACCAATAAGGAGAACTGGGAGCATTAGTTTATCCCAATTCAACCATCGAGTGCTTATACCGAAATGCTTTATAAAGGATTTGAGTTTTCAACGAGTAACCCGCTGTTTCCGCAGAATTAGGCATGTGTAACATCTCGAAATGCACGAAGGGCTCATTGGTAGAAACAGTTATGCAAATTACAAACGATTACTAACTAGCGTGATTACTAGTGATATGTGTATGAAACAAAATACAAAAACCGGTATTTCATTTTGTCATCAATTTCAACCAATATGTGTTTCTTTCAACCAATATGTGTTCCTTGTGTGTTTACTGTAGACGGAATTACCCTAAATGGCGCCGTTGAGCTGTACGTAACGAATCTATCGAGCAGTATTCTAAAATGATCTATTATGTGAACTATAGCATTGCTAGTTGCTGCAGAGAAAATATCAAAGCGCAACCCCTTCTTACTGATGCAATTGACTGACCTGCAAAAATAGAACAAGTGTATGAAATGGTCCGACTCTTCTAACATAAGAAAAAACCTATCATTTTCATGAATCCGGCATTTACGCTTGACAAAGTGAAGAAAAGCTCAGTGGTAAGAAGGATTTCAGCAGATGCCTTGCCTAGTACGTAAAGGAATGAAGCATTTGTGGTTTTACCGCTAAGAAAGAAAGAGTGCAAAATTTTCTCTTGCTCTGAACGCTTTGTTTGCATTCCAACACAACTGTGAAGAAAAAAGTGCAAAACTCTGCTGACTTTATGCTGAGATAAGGTTGTACCTTAGTTTTTAGACGCTAGGGCAAAATGTGATCAAAAAACTGCTTCAACGTTGTTTAAGCTTAGCGGTGTTGTAAGTGTTCCGCTCAGATCGACTTTTTAATTATGCTCAGTTACTTCTTAAAATGTGACGTACGTCAAATTCCATCAGGAGATTATCTCCAGCTGAAAATTTAGCTTTATGAGAGCATCTCTTTGTTGTAGCATAAAATCTTACAATCTGTGTTACGCCATCAAGAAGATGATATAAGGCATTCATAAGTTGCTTTCTTGACGAGTTTTCAGCGCTTATCTGACTTGAAACCGTGTAATCTACATTTTCTGAGAGCTGGAGAGAAAACGTTTACCTACGGCCATGCTTCTCAAAAATTTTAATCAGCTAATTTAAATTTTTGAAAATTTTCAACAATCATTGCAGCATCTTATTATACTATAAAGCTGAATATCTGTTTTTGTCTGTATGTCTGTATGTCTGTATGTCTGTACGTATGTTCCGAATAGAAAATTCCATTTCTGAACCCATCCGGACCAAACTTGGCACACATACACTTCGGGCAACGGCGGGTGTCATAGGCTACTTTTCGTCATCGATCGATATCGATTTTATCGATTTTTGTCGATTTTCTTTGCAGAGTTCACCTACGGGGCTGGGAGTTGGCACAGGGGGTAGTCGAGCATGGGGATTCCGAATACAATATTAGTTTTCAGGATTATCGATTACTTTTATCGATTTTATCGATTTTTTGCAAAGTTTGAATTACGGGGCTGGGAGTTTGCACAGCGGGGTAATCGAGCATGGGGATTCCGAATACGTTATTAGTTTTTTCAATCGTCCACTATTTTTATCGAATTTATCGATTTTCTTGCAAAGTTTGAGCTACGGGGCTGGGAGCTTGCATGGGGGGGGGGTAATCAAGCATGCTGATTACGAGTTCGATATTAGTTTGGCGCTATTCGGCTAACCGTGCCCCGAAATGTTTTTGTCGTAGAGCTTGTTCAGATTCGTGTATAAGGGTTATCTTACATGCTGATTACAGATATCACACCTTCGTCGCAGAAAGTCTCCCCATGTGGTTACGATAGGTGTACGGTAGGAAGTCAAAATCATTAATTCGGCTGGAGTTCGGTCCAGAGAACTTAATCGACATGCTGATTACGAATTTCATACTCTCTCTGCATATTGGGACCTCTTCATAGAGTTAGGGTGGCTATATACGGTGTGGGGTCGAAAACATAGATTTGCTTCAAACTTCGTCTAGGGTGGTCATTTAGCGCGCTGAACATAAATATCATGTTGATTTCGCAGGATGCTGCATTTTCTTGGGTTACGGTGGGTGTAGATGGGTCGAAGTTCCAGATTTGCTCAAAATCTTACCTGTAACGGTTCACAAGTATACTGCTTATGAATATGAAACTTGCTCGCTGTCATAACTTGCTTGTCTCGCATTAGTGAAGTTGTGTGAGTTGCAGGATTTGAATGGACAGGGCCAATTTAAATCCCAAATATTCATGAAGGGCCAATTTAGATCCCAAATATTCATGAAATGGGGAAACGGTCGTTTTGCATGGCGGACTCCAGCGCCATCCTGATAACCTGTCCCAACGTGTAACGCACGCGGCAAATCTCCCTCTTCCTGATTCGCTTAGGCAAAAGCCGCCGAAGAGTGTATTGCACGCGACAAATCTCCCTCCCCCTATTTCTGCTTAGGCAAAAGCCGCCGAAGGATGTATCGCGCGCGGCAGTGGTCCTATAAGGAAAGCATTACGGTCGTGGAAACTTTTATACCACACGACTTGCCTTTATCACGGGGATTGAGCACGGTATTCTTTGAACAGCACTTTAGGTAATTCCCTGCCAAGGTTTCAGGCAGGTTTATGATTTTGACCCGCTGCCACGCGATGACTATGATATTGTCATCAGCGGCTCAAATAACCCCCATATACCGAGTTTGAGCAAGATCCGTCACAAAAACATTTTGAGGCCCGGATAGCCGAATAACGCCATCAGTTTTTAGAATTATCCTCACTTTTATCGATTTTATTGTTTTTTTGTGCAAAGTTTGAGCTACGGGGCTGGGGGGTTGGTGAGGAAGGTAGGTGAGCATACTGTTTACTCACGCAGCGGGAATAGGGAATATAGAAGTGGGCACAGGTAAAGGTGTACAGGGATAGAAATGGAACCTTTATCGTTTTTGACAGGGCCAGGCGGAGCCGGGTAAGCCAGCTAGTTTACGACTAAAATATGTTATTCGCTTATTTTATAACCCTGTTCTCCTCCATAAAACAAAACCTGAAACCGCAGCATGTCGCGACGTCCTGTACGGAAGTGGTCTGTAAGCTTACTGTCGTATGGGTTGGCCTGGATCCAACCTGAATAGTGAATGGAAACCCTTAAGGTACGCGAAAAGTACTGTCTTTTAAGGGCAGGGTTCCCAAATTTTCGTCTTCATGTTTTTGTTTTTGTGAGGCCTTCCGCGGCCCTTATTACAGTTATGAAGCTGAAAATGCGCAAAATCTCGAAAACCCGACTGGGAACCCCTATTCTGAAGGCCCAAAGGAGTTTCGGCACCGGGGTGGGCGGAGTTTGATAGGGTAAGCGTAGCTTGATAGCAGTTTTGTGCGTTGATCCATTGTATTACAACATTGGAGTATCGGACCAACGCATGTGCCCCTCTCGGGAGGCCTACATCTAGGCTGAGTACCAATCGGAGGAGCTCGAACCACAACACCAAG